TTTTTGTACTAGCACCTGGGTCAGCCATCTTGAGTCCAACCCCAGTTCTCCCTCACCCTCCTGGTGAGGGGGACTAAACCTTAACAGTAACACGTGATGAATCACCCGGGCTGAGTAACCAGAACAATCTAGAAACTGTCTTTCAGGGAGTAAAAAGAAATCAAAGTGATGGACCTTTACAGTACAAGGTCAGAGATGCTGCAAAATGTTAAGCTGAGTCTTCCGACAATTTTTCTGAACCATATTAAGTAAAAAGGTCTGCTTTATAAATGATTTTTCCCTTAGTGCATTCAAAAGCACACATTTAACATCTTTTTAAAAATTTACTTTAGTATCAAATGTTCCTGTAGCACTGATTTCATGCAGCTACTTTCTGTTTTATTCAAGATACTTTAGTAAATGCTGATTTATATTTGTTACAATCTACCAAAAGTAATTGCTCAGTTTTAAAATTCTGATTTTAAATTTACTTCATTTAGGATTTGGCAAACGTACTGTAAAATCTAAACAAAAATGATGTAAGCAGCAAAAGATATTGTCGCACACATCAAACAAGGGAAAATGTTTCCTGAAACTAAAACAAATGCAGCATTTGAAACAACTTTTTTTAATGTGTTAAAGATCCCTCAACTGTTCTAAGTTTTGCTGATAAACAATTAAAAACACTTTATGTACCAACAGCATGCAAGCAGTGAATGTTCATCTAATTAATGACTATACTCTGGCAGGTATGTGCCAATAGATACAATGAGAGGTGGCCTTCACATGCAGACTATTCTCTACAATGTTCCAAATGGAAGTGACCATTCTTGAAGTGAGTTAAACAGAATAGCTGAATGGGTGACTCTTTAGTTTTAAATAATCAATGTACCTACTACTGTACAAGTAGTGGGCAGTTTCTGCTCTGTGCTTAGTGTGTGCATTGCCCCCTCTACTGGTGAACAGGCAGTGCTAGGATGAAAGAAACAGTTGGGTCTCTAATCAGCATTCAAACAGCAGACTATGTGAGATTGTAAAGAGTACAGCCATTTGTAATAAGTGGACTAAGGTTTTTCTACCTAGCGCTGTTGTAGACAGGAACTACAAATGTATATTTCAGAGATAAAATGAAATACTCATCAGTAACTCAACTGATTAAAAACAAATTTACTTGTCAGCAGATAATTTGAAACCATGCTGCTTAAATATCAAAATATTTTCCACCACATTTTCTCTTCATAATTTGCTGAGGTGAGTTAGCGTTTCATGGGCTGACGAACCTGAGATTGAGCCTGACATCAACATTCTCAGGTTGGACAGTCCTAGAAAGAACTACTCAAGAGTTAATGTGGGACCGGGTGTCTTGTTCAGGCCGCTCTGTGAGCCGCAGCGTGCAGTGTCCACACTGAATGCACCTGCTTTGACAAGACTAAAATCACTTTGAAATAAGATGGAAAATGCATTTGTCTAGTTGCGGTCCGGAAATGGTTAAACATGTGTAATTTGTGCACCTTCTCAATAGTATGCTGGGCAGTGTAATGTTTTTCCACACAAAAAGTTTTCAGATGTACAAAAATCTACTTTAAAATCCTATGAAAAAGAAATAATGTAGTTAGATAATACTGTTGGTCACCAACATTATTGATCACCATCATCTGAAGGTTGTATTTTTTAACTGCTTGCTATAAATTACATTTTTTTGTGACAAAAGAGACCATCTTTTGTCATTATGTTACTGAGTTATTAATTAAATAAATGTCTACATTAAAATATTGTAAAATAATTTAGACTGGGTGCTGCATGCATGATGACAGATGGCGCCAAGACCAAAAGTCATGAATCCAGTGCAATGAAATTGAGAAAATACACTTTAAGTATTTGCATTGAGTAAAGCAGCAGTCATTTTCATTGATTCGGGTAATATAATTTCATTTTCTCCAATCAAAACAAAAAGTCACTAGGTCTTAATGTTTATGAATGAATGAACTCACTACAAAATAGCTAATTTTATTTCAATGAAATGGACTAATCTTACAACAAATCATAGTTAAATGCATTTGAAACAGCATATATGGCTTGTAATTGTGCAAATGTTCTCATTCAAAAACACTTCTGACTCTGTGCTGTTAGCTAACCTACACTGAAACCACTCAGAGAGCAATTGAGCATTCAGCCAACGAGGCCTAATACTCAAACTGCATCTCATACTGAAAACACCTAAATCACTCTGGCCTGACTTTATGAGGACAGTCCAGCCACTTTTTTCCTCTCATGATAAACTATGCGGTAGGAAAGCACACACATGCACGCACACACACACACACACACACACATGCACAAAGAGAGAATGAAAGGAGAAGGAGGGAGACAAGGAGAAAGACAATACTTTACCCTCTTCAACAGACTAATCCAAACGCTCTTCACATGATTCAGAAATACTTCACCATCTGAATAATTCATCCTCAACGATCTGCATTAAGCCACTGTGCTGCGTTACTACTCGCACCATCTCTTCACATTTACAATTCACACACACTCCAGATACCAGACAGCACATTAAGCAAACAAATTACTAGCATAAAAACGTTCCATGTTTTCTTCATGATCATTATAATAATGGAAGGCTGTGACAGGTTTGTGAAGTCTTCTCTGCGTGCTCCTTACCCACATGGCAGACCCAGTCACTCCTCAGGCTCAGTCAAGACAGACAGGGAGGAGAAGAAAAATAAGAAAATCTTGAGACATCTTCATCATGTAAAGTCAAGACCAAGAAGAGAGCAGTTTGGAGCAAAGCTGGTGGCATGAGGATGCACATAGGTCGCTGAGTTATAACGGCCACTCCTGCTGTCTTTACCAAGCTGTGACCTCATCGTGCTCTGTACTACCAATGGGGATGCAACTCATACAGACACACCATCTTCCTGTTTGTCAGTCAGTGCTGGTGGTAAATTTTCCACTGACATCTTCGTTCAAGGGACTGATATGAGTTTTTCAATGCAATGCATTTGCAAAAGTAAAATATATCTCAATTCATTTTAAAAACTATTAGGGCAAATGTCAACATGCAGAAATTTGTGTTTTTGTAAAGGGAGTAACACAAAAATGACAATGAATAAAGCAACTAAAACCTTTTTAATTTTTGCAAAAAGTGAAAGATTTTAGATCTATGACAGCTGCATACTTAATATTACATAAACTAGAGCAGAACAAGAAATCAAAATGCTGCTGCTGATCCTCCTGATATTATTATTTCTTGCCCATGGTTGTCATACCTCCTCCCTCAGAAAAAAAAATGCTTGTGAGCCAATATCTGCCTAATAGGCTGCTGGTTTGTAATTGTCCATCAGCCTCGTCAAATATGTGTCAGTCATACTGACACATATTTGGCTGACGTTTTGACTACATCATAACATGTATACCTGACAGAAATGTAATAATGATAAAGAGAATTTTAAAGGCTCTATTGCACTAATTATGGAGAGTGGTGGAAGATATCAAGGTTACTTTCCATGAGAAGAGGACAACCACAATATCCTTCCTGTTCATTGTCAAGTGTAATGTAGGTAATGTGTCATTGTGACTTGAAATGTTTGACTGAAGCTAAGATATTCAGGTGATTCGAACACGGTGATGTGCCTTGAGGTGTGTTAATCCCGACTGAAGAGTGTTTTCTAAGAACTGTTTTACTACGGTGAGCTGGTTGAACACTACATCGTAACATGTATACCTGACAGAAATGTAATAATGATAAAGAGAATTTTAAAGGCTCCATTGCACTTTTATTATTAAATATATAAAAACATGCAGCAGAAGACGCAGAGCAGTCAAATGCTAGGGCTGCAAACAATCGATGGATCGTCAGTACTGAGTGACTTCCAGTGGTATGTGTTGTACAGTGGCAGGTGACTAAATGGAAAACAAAGGACAAACAAAAGGCAGTAACAATACATGTACAGTAGCCTTCAATTTCAGTACAGCTAATGTTTTTTCTCTTAATGTTGTACATTTCCCTTTTTGAGTAAAGCAAATGACTATTATTCAAAATAAATTATAAATTGTGAACTTGTAGAACATCATATCGATGCAACTCATTGAGCAAGTTACTAGATAATGATAGTAAAAACACATTTCATATGCATTTCTTTTCTTCTGGTATGTCATTGCACAACCATGTGGAAAAATATTGTGGAGCCTCATTTCAGAAGCTGTCAACATGACCCCACAAAGAAGAAGGAAAATGAGTACCAACTTCAACAAACAGATGTAATTTGTTCCAACGCTGATACAAATAAAAGGATCAGGGGCTAACGGGTCACGTTTGACATGTTCCAAGTTTATATTCATAACTCGTCTTTTTTTTATATAGTAAATAATAAATCCTGCCTACTGCAGGAAAAACAGCCATAACTCAGGGTGCGTGACACCGAAATAAATCTGTTAAACACAAGTGCACTCATTTTTATAGCGATAAAAAAAGATGTATGAATTGCATCCTCATTGTTCAGCTTTTATCCATAGTAAAAATTAAATATATAATGTAGGATATGCTGCTGGAATACGCACCACATGTACATACCTTCAGCTGTAAAATGAAAAATGGCTTTCAACAACTTTTTCAAGTGGCTAGGTGAAGTGCCCAGAGAAGGAAAAAGGTGAACCAGAGAGTTAAAAACAAATAAATAAAAGACAGATACACCTACACATTTTCTGCTTGAATGCTCCTTTAGAAAGTGCTCATGGCGATGGAAGTTGAGCAACACAAGTTTATGTTCCAATTTTACCGTTGTGAAAGTTGTGAGGACCATATGTGGTAAAATAAACTTAAAACCTCCCTTTTCCCCTGTTACAGCACGGGCAAATTCACATTTAGCTCCGTCACCCACAGTACATGGCTTAAGGCTAGATATATCTTTTCAAGACATTTCTGCAAATTTCTATACAGAGATCACCGAAATTTAAAAACAGAGAAATAAAACATTTAGACTTTATAACATACTGTACATATAAAAATATTTCAGACTTCATAACAACTTTCCAAATAAAACACACCATTTACATGGCATTAAATAATATAATTTAAATTTTCAAAAAGGTGCCTGTACATTAGCAATGTTTTCTCTGGTTTTCAGTTTATTTTTCAGGGTGCCTTTGTTTGACCCTTGAAGGACACACAGACACACTGCAGCCCCAGAGGAACAAGGAGTATGTCCTCATCTTGTCCTCCGAGAGGCACAGCCCTGAATCACCTGATAAAAGTTAGTGCACTGCCAATAATTTAATCAATAACTGCGCTCCTCCATCTCTTCGTCGCTCCAGTCAGGAGGTGCATCTGTTCCAAAGTATCGATCCCCGAAGTTTCCTACAGGCGGCAAAAAAGAAAATGTGGCAGTATTAGTTAAAACTATGTAAAACCCCAGTTAAGGCCATGTAAAGGTCAAGCACACCATGTTACAAAATGTCTCATACACTATCTCAGCATTACTCACCTATGCCAGGTATGATATGGAAGAGATCGTTGACCTTCTTGTCGACAGCTGTGGTGATGATTTTGACTTGTGGGAATGCATATGCCACTGAATGGACTCCCATTTCAGCCATCAGCAAAGACACTAGTAGGATCTTGTCCTCCTGAACATCATGGTCCTGAAAATGAAAATGCACCCATGAAAACAGGAATGAAATTCACTTCAGGCGTCATGAATCAGCGGACAATCGGGCACACCTACCAGCAGGACTCGTACAGCCATCATGGCGGCAGCCCCAGTGGACACTGTGCAGTCCATCAGAATCACATAATCTTCACTGATGTCTTTCGGTAGACGCAGGTAATGAAGCTGACAATGTTTAGAGACAGGATGTGCGTGAATATCAAAATGCAGGCAAATAACATGATGAAGTAAGGGAAAACCACACCAAGCTTCAAAAAAGTCAGTATTAAAGAAACTGTCAATATGTAAATAACGACATATTGCTTTGAAAGTTGCCAGGTGAGATATTGACGGTGTATTTAGGTTAATGACAGCAAAATGTTTTACAGAGTTCATCCTAAGGATGTGCTACAGCTTAAAGCTGCACCTCTGGTTCTCCTGTGTCCTGATTGGTCTGGATGAGGATCTTGCCGATGCGGACGTCTTTGCAGACAGCCCTCAGCGCTGGCTCCATGGTCTCCCCGGCTCGCAGGATGGACACACCTGTGATCTAAAAAAATAAAAAAATAAAGGAGCAGTCACAAAACTTCTCAGATTGATCTTCAAAAAAATAAAAATAAAATAAAAAACCTTAAGTACTGTAAATGGAGTTCACTCACCTGCTTCCCTTGGAAAGTCCTGCCTTCATAATCCTCTCCTTGGGGGGTCTGGACTACATGGACCTGAGATAATATTAAAAGTCATAACAGTGTGAGCAGTGCTGATCACAGTACTACACTGTACAACAGCAGATCAGCTACAGTGAGTTATAAACCGTCAGCTGTGTGTGCTTGTGTAATACAAACCCGTTTCTTATGGTTAGGGTACAGAAACTTTCCATTGTGGTAACTTGCCAAGTTTCCTTGCTCGTGATAAAGGCCACTATGTGTATGTCTATCAGATTTTCTTTTTAGCAAATACAAGCACTTATTCTTTTTCCACTAATCTTTATCTGAACATCTCCCCCATTTCAAAGTGAGTCTCACTGTCTTGATGCATCTTGTGAGCATTGGTCTATCTATCAGTTGTCTAATGATTTATTCAGTCTCCTACATATCACCATCTATACTCAGGCATCTAATGCTTCAGAGTAATGACTGATTTAATGCAAAGGATCAGGAATCCTCTGTGCAGTGCTATGAATGAATGCAGTGGTTGTCACCTGTGAGGGGAGGAAGGCGAGCGCCCGCTCGATTAACAGACGCATCAGCCTCTTGGAGTAGAAGATGAACTCATCACGGCTGGTTTCCTTGTTTCTTGTGGTGATTAGAAAAAGAAATGTACAACATTTATGCTGGCATAGCAGCTGCTCTACCCTGTACCGTCTTATGGACAGATGTCATTCAAATCAAGTTTTCTAACATGTACCTGATGATGGTGTGCATGCCCCTGACCTGGGGCGTGCTGTCCAGGACGCTGAGGGTCTGGGGGAGGGGTTGGGCCTGGTGTGCAGAAGCCAGGGCTGCCCTGTAGCCATGGCAACCAATAATAGAGCAGGGGTAGCGCAGGGTGAGTGGAGTGGAAGGAAGAAGATGGACAGATACATGAAGACAACGCACATGAATACGAGGGCAATTAATACTCATTTGCACGCATGTGCACAATATCTGCAAGGTCAAACACAACCGTGTGCACACATACAGTATGCACAGTTAGAAAACACACAAACCCACAGACATCCAAGTACATGCACAAATAATTTTTCAGCAGTAGTTAGAGCGAAGTTGATAATGGTAGTGTGTAACCACTGGACTGAAATAGGTTTGCTTGGAAAAAGGCAGATGCACAAAATTGCAAAGCACACACTGCCAATGTGTATTTCCAGTGGAAAATTACAACAGCACAGAGACCAAGATAATGGAAAAGAACATCAAGCAATAAAACAGACCAATTAAAAAACTAACATAATATATGCAGACTTGAAATAAAGTAAAATGTTGCCATGTGACATAAATAAAATGCATGAATGTTATTTTCCATGACAGGTCTCACCCCAGTATTCCACAGGTACTGTAAATATTAGGTTTGAATATCTAGTTAAGTGTAGGTCTACCCTGGCCTCTAGAGGAACACACTGTACTCAGTGATGTAGCCCTGTTGACACTACAGTGTCCACAAGGCATGAAGATAAAAAAATAAAATAAAATAGCCAGATGCAAAGAAAAGAGAAATCAAAGCAAATCTGCTCACATATCCCAGCGAAGTTTCCTCTAAGGGGAGAATTTTTCGACGAAACACAACAACAAACACAACAGAGGAGACACAGAAAGATGAAAAACAAGAGATAAGGAGGAAAATATGAGAAGAGACACAACATCAGGTGGATGACGGGATTATTACACACAGTGTAAAGTGTGACAGCTAAAACTTGCAAATGTCTTAGAAATCTGCTTTACCACTGAGGTAAGGAATATAATACATTATTATCACCTAATGTGTCATGATACTACGAGTTGCTAGGCTTAAAGAGAACACAATCAAGTTCACCATCAAATTTTGGTGTCTATACACGTGTACCTATTGTGTGTACGCGTGGGAGGTACACAAGTTATTGTGCGGCTGTCACTCTTTCACCGTCAAAAACAGTAGAGGTTGGTATTTCAGCTCGCAGGCCTCAGCACATCCTGTGTCTAAAGACAGACACCAAGCTCACTTCCTCCCACTCTCTGTCTCAGGTACTGTGGCCGACATTCAATGGAAAAACTCAGCGCTTTGTAGTAGGGTATTGGAAACTTTCTCTGTGGTACGTGATAGTCAACAATTGCTGTAGCAAGAGCTTCCTCTCTCTCACTTTCTGTTATAGTCACCCTCTCTTATTCTTGTTGCCGCTGAAAGGAGGGGTCAGCGATTTGACTCACTGGTGTATTTTTAGACACAGAAGGCAGGAAGATTGTGAGTTGTCATTTCTCTAAAAAGTAGACAGAGGAAAAACCAGCCTCTTTGCATTACATGCTGGCTGCACTGCATCACTTTCAAACTTTTGAGCTAAGCTCCACTTTCAAATTATCAGCTGTTGTCATTCAGTTTTGGTGTGGACAAAGAATGTTAAAACTCTTAAGGCGGCTCTCTGTTTAGCCAGATTCAGTTTAGAGATACAGTACAAGAGCGCCGCCTGGTGTGTGCCACGGCAGCCAGCAAATCGGTGGGAGGCAGAAGTTGGTTTTACTGGCCCCTTTTTCTCTCCACAACCAATAAAAAGCTGGAGCGATTGGGAAACTGGGCAGATGGTGAGGAAAGAATGACAGACAGGTTAAAGGCCACTCTACCTGACGCTGAGCTCGCGCTGTGAGCCGTGGAGGGATTTGGGGTAGAGGGGAGTGAGGGGAGAGAGTGAGAGAGTAGTCCGTCAGCAGCATGTGTGTTACTGTGTGTCTATAGTGTGTGTGTGTGTGTGCGCATGTGTGTGGGGGGTAAAGCAGAGACAACTGTGGCACAGTGCTCCCCACAGGCACAAATGTGCCTTTGCTTGTAATTTGTACATGTTGCAGAGCAAACCAAAAAAGGGGCCAACATGTTGTGAATCAACACTATGAACTATAGATTTCTTTCTTTTAGGGCTGTGCAACTGACTAGAGGTTAACAACATTAACTCCTTGTTAAGGTTAAGGTTAGGAGCAACTAATTAGGGCTCATTTGTATCAGGACCCCACGCAGACATGTGCCAAATATGAATAACTACAGTTCAAGTAATAATTATCAACATTTAGCTTCATGAACAGAGAATGAATAAAGTTTACTGAATGAAAATATGACGTTTTGACTTTGTCTTTGTCAGGTAATAGTTTACACGATGACTCTTTCCTTTTAAGCTGCCTGGAGAAATCATGCACATTCCTCCTCCCCTAAAATCGGTGCAGTGTATTTTCTATCCACTAGATGGCGCTTGTTTTTGCTGACAAAAAAGCTGACCTACAGTTTACCTCTCAGCTCCCACAGTAAGATGAGTCAGAGAGCAAATAAAAAATATAACGTACTCTAGGAAGGAGGAATGAGGAACCATAACACTCTCCTGATGTGTACCTGCCATAGTCAACTGTCATGACACATTTTCTACATGAGTGTGTGTGTATATGTGTGTGTGTGTGTGTATATATGAATGTAGTTCTCTGAGTGTGAGCTCTTACCTCCTCCAGCTGACTGTGAACATGCTGCACAATCAAATCAATGGCCACCATGTTGCCACCACCTGTCAGGACAGCAAACCAAAAGCCAGTGCTACACAATTATTATTTTGATCCGTGTGGGACTGAAAACATACAGTAACTTCTTTAGTATAGCAGCAGTAAAAAAAACAAGAAAATTTAAGTACATTACAAACACAACTTGAACACAATAACCGTTCTGTTGCACTGCCTTTATTCCTTATATCACATTAGATTTGAGCATTTACGTGCATGTTGTAAATGTGTGTGCGAGTATTACGCACCACGTGGCACTACAATATCAGCCAGGCGCATGGTGGGCTCAATGTACTGCTCAAATGCCGGCTTGACAAACTTGTTGTACTGCTTGATGACGCCCTCAATTTCTCGGCCCCTTTCTGTAATGTCCCTCCTGAGTCGACGCACCAGCCGTATGTCAGAGTCGGTGTCCACAAAAATCTTCATATCTAGCAACTGACAGGAGAAAACAAACCTGTAGCTGACCACGAAGCTTTATAACAGATTCACACAAAGACGTAGCAGCTAAGAAAGAACAGCTTGAAATTAATACCTCTTTTTTTCGTGACAACCAATGAGATATGAAAAGACGTGTTGAAATGTGTTTAAATCAATGCAAAATTAACTCGTGTCACAGCAATTTTGAAGTCGAAACTGTTTCCTTTTAACAGATTATCAAACTGGAGCTGCAAGTGTGTGGTGACTGAATTCATCTTTGTAATTTATTCTGTGTATTTCTGTCAGCCAGCAGCTCATTACCACGTTAAGATTCAAAGTCCAGTGTGGTTTTGTTTTTAAATGATATAAATTACTGTTACTGTCCACTCACATTAATAAGTGACTGATGATTCGCATGTCTACAAATGTACCGGGCACTTTCAGCACATCTGTGGGCTCATACGTATGTCAGTTCCAATTCTGTGTTTTTGACTTGTTCATGTTTGAATCTGCTTACATTTACATTAAGGATTGTACATTTAAAAGATTTGCTGAGCTTGTTTCACATAGTCATTAAAGTTCGGTATAAATCTGACACCAGCTGAACATGTGACTGACTGACGCGCACTCCTACCTTCAAGAGCTCTTTATCTGCAAAGGCCATGATTCCTTCAAAGATGATAACACTGGCTCCATACACCGTTTTCTGTGGCGGACACACACATGCATACACACTCAAAGTACATTGTAAAAATCATCATGATCAATAATGTACAAGTGTCACTGATGAGAAAAAGTCTAATAGTAGTTAAATCGACATTAAAGTACAGAAGTGGGCAGAAATCACAATAATGATTTGGCAGTGCCCATCTGGAGCAGCAGAGTTGGAATGTGACTCTAAACCTCTAGTGAGGAAGGTTCAAACCCTCTTAGGTAATCAACAAACGGGAGATTAATGTGCGTTAACTCTGACTTGCTACTCAGTAACTTTCAAAACACATTGTCACATGTTCAGATGTGTGTATTCATCCATACCCACTCCTTCTGTCTCCCATGAGTTGTGAAGTCATACACAGGGATTTTCACGCTCTTGCCCTGTTTGAGTTTGCGCAAGGTGTATGTCAGCAAATCAAAGTCAAAGGCATCAGGGTGGTCAAAGTTATAGTCGTTGCTGGCAGCCCGAGTCTGCTGTTCTGGAGACAGGACCTGAGGACGACAACCACAAGAATGATGGGAGTGGATTTACAGCAAGCTGGCCACAACATCGATGCTTCACAAGCACAATACAACATGATTTCCTGAGCAAAGTACTTCCTTTGCCTCTCAGTCTCTGGCTCTGCTTAGATAAACTCTACATAAATATTTGCATATCCTGAAAAAAGATAACACAACATAAGAAGTGTGTTCTACTAAAAAAAATATATATGCTAAAATAATGGTTTGGGACACAATTTACATAGCTGGAGCAAAAACACTTAGACACAGCTCAATGTTCAAGAGCAGTTGAAGTTAGGGGACCTAAATTTAGGAGATCATCATGCGCCACTGTGACGTCTGTACCGGGTGGTGTGTGTGTGTGTGTGTGCGCCCCTTAAGGTGGTCGAACATTAAGACCCCAGACCTGGTATTTGGCAGTTTCAGAACAGCAACACCCCCTTCTCAAGCAAACCGATTATAAACCAGTGTTACAGACTCTCAGAGAGCTGAGAACAAGCATTAAGCAGCCCCTCTAGCTGCCAACTGAAAAGAAGCATGAGTTTAAAAAGACACTGATTTTAGACGCCAACCTCTGGTAATACATTGTGCAAACTGGCACTTGTACCACTGGTCACTGGTAAATCCCTCCTACTCTGAGAGTCTGAACCACTGCTGTCAGACTGTGACAGGATTACATAACCAGAGAGTGGGTGGAGGTACAGTATAGAGAGGATTGAATGGCCCTTGTTTTATTGCTCTCCACCACTCTTTTTCTCCCCAACTCACTCGCAACTGTGGTCCTCCGTTGACTCATCCCCCTTTTAATATTTTATCCTTTTGTCTCCTTTCTGTCCAGTCACTCCTTACTCTCATTCGCCCTCTGGGATCCAAAAGAAACCCTGTTTTTCCTCTCTCTTCCTCACTTTCACTCTTTTCTACCCTTCTTTCACAGTTGCATACCGTCAAAGACTGAATGCTAACCCAGGAAGGAGGGAGGAAAAACCTCACAAAGAGGAAAAAACAAACTGATCGCCAAAGTTCACACAGAACAGAAAGCTACCGTAGTGGCCTCCAATGGTCTAGGCAACCTGCACAGAGTAATTTAACACAGGATCATATTATACTCCTGATGTTATTTGGGGTTTCCATTGGAGCACTGAAGCTGGCCAAATTATACATGATTATTTTAAAGATTATTTTTTGTAAGGAGATGTTTAATTCTTTTATCATTTGTTCTACCAGAGAAATAGTAAGAATAAATAGTTTTGCCACTGGAATATTATGAATATCATGATGGCTTAGTGTTCGAATTGATGCTGCAGCCAGTCAAACACCTTTCTCTGCCCTTTGTGCTTTTGTATAAACAGTTACCCTGAAATATTATGTCTAATGGATTTCATGTTTTCATGGTATTGTTTTAAAGCCCTTGTGAAAACTAAATGTACTTAATCTAAAGCTGCTTTCAGCAGATTGTTTGAATATTACAGAACAGAAAAGTATGAACCCGTTACATGTTTAGAGAAAAACAATGCATATCATGACCATTTTATAATAAAATATAATAATAATATATTATCCTTAGCCTACTTTTTGAGCATGTTGTGTGAACACATGCAAAATCACGTCGTAATTCAGGTCATGTATATTTGAAATGACAGGCTTTCGGTACCTTAACCTCATTTCACTACATGCATAAACAAGTGCATGCAAATGGACATAGAACAGGAGCCACACAGGGCACTACACTGCACACACCTTGTAAAATGAGTCCATTGACAGTAGAACAACCCACGGAACATCCAGAGCTTCGATGATTTTCCTGGCGACGGTGGTCTTTCCCGAGGCGCTGCCGCCACACAGGCCTGCAACAGGGTATTTGCATAACGACATTATGTGATGTTTGCAAATAGGTTTAACTGCAAATCTGTCACATTAAAATGCCTTTGCTTGGTAGGGAAGTCCTGGTCTCTGTTAGTGCATGTTGAGGATCTTTTATATTAGCATCTAGAGGCAGACAGAGACACTAAACATTCCTGTGAACCTATTTTCATAAATTCCTAATCTCTTGTACATCACATACTCCTTTGTCCGATATTTCTTCTTAGCAGCAAAGCAGAACCACCTCTGACTCAGTTAAAATGTCAATAATAACACTGAATGAGTTTGTCAATACCCATTAGCAGTAAACACGATCACTTATTTCTGCTAAAGACACTTCTTATCTGCTTACCCGGGGCATCTGTTAACTTTGTTTCCAACTGATACATATCCCTGCGTCCCAAAGCTGAAACGTGTGTTGGTAAGGTAAAATGCTCCATTCTTTAGATTCACACTACAGACTTTATAGGGTAAAATATATGAAATGAAACAAAGATATACAAGGAAAGAACAAACAAGTCAGTGTTGTAATATTGTGACGTCCATCCCCTTTAGGTGTCCTACCGATGACGAAGGCCTCTTTGGACTGTGCTCCATGTTCATTGTACCAGGGTGGGCGTCCCGCGGTGTATATGGTTCTCTTGGAGGTGCGTAGGAGAGGAGGCTCAGACTTACACTGGCTGGTGGTCCTTTTTCTAGGTGAAAGGCCCGTGCTTACTGAGGGTAGAAGCCTGTCCAGTGATCCCTCACCACTTCCACTGTAAGACAGTAAACACACAGTAGGGCACACCATCACTGTTTGGAGTTAAAGGGAATAAAAAGGTCTTGCAAACAACTCTGTGCACATTTAAAAGGAGCTATTTTGTTCTCTGTTTATGTCCAGGCATCATATGGTCTATGATAAAATGCCTTTTGGTCACAGTATGAGGGGGGTTTTTAAATCCTACTAGACCAGCACTACACCACAGAACAACCACTTCTCCTTAGCATCCTTGTGTCAAGAACTGCATTCTAATAGTAATGTTAAACAGGCAATTGGACACTGAAAGAACATGACGATCGTGACAGTAAATTACTGTCCTGATGTACATAAACACAAACAGACGTCGGTTTGGGTGGGGAGCAGTGCAATGAAACACAGATGAGTATTAAAGGTCACCTGGTTCGCAAGACACTGGATAAAACTGAGTGAGTGCTGCGTTTCCCCGTCAAGGGTTAATGTTTAGCTTTTACATCTCCAACAGCTGAGCTTTGTCCAGGCTTGTAGGGCAGAACTGCTACAGGTACCGAAGTATGCTATATGTTGGCTCAGTGTAAAAAGATCAATTCCACTGTTTTGTGCTCAGCTGTGCAACTGAAACATGCGTGCACGTAACATGCACTGGGTGTTTCCAGTGACTAAGGCCGCAGTAATGATCCTCAAACAAATTACAAGCTCATTCAAAACAGGTATATGGCTCTCAGGAAAGCCAGGGACACGGTGAGCAAAATCTATTGCTCAATCACAGCTTCACCATGACACAGCAACAACAATAACCCAGTTTCTACTTAGAGACTTTAGGTAATACCTAGTTAAAGTGTCTTTGTTTCCTAATACCATAAACAAAAGGAAACCTACAAGTGTCTGCTATGGATTTTCCATTTTTGTAACCATATTTGGCAATACAGTTGATCCACCCAGGGAGTAATGAGTTCAGCTTTTTGCCACTGCAAGTGAAGAATGAGCATTGACTTTTGTATAATGCTTGAGAAGAGAACAGCAGGGGAAAGCTTTTTTAGGCTTTCTTACAAGTGTCTGGTCTGACAAAACCTGAGATATGTGCTGTACATTATCTATACCAAGTATTAGTATTGGAAGAAAAAAAACGACTTGGACATCATCGGGGAAGCTACTGCTTTCAATTCAACGGTGGCACAAATATTAAGGCGTATCACCGAGAGCTGTCACCAAAACAAAGGCTGCCATAGCTGTTTCACAAACAATGTTCGTCACGTGATAGGTTTAACCGGTAATGGTTGCTAGCAACACTTACCGCAGTATCTGAGACATCCACACTTTACCCAATGAGCAGTGCAAAAAGCCAGATGCCATAACTCTAGTAGGCTGTGAACATTCTCGACTTCCGCGTATTTATATAGGCCATAAATGACTGCAGGTGGAGTGTCAAGAGGTCAGAGGTGGAGCAAACAAGTGAGAACAAAGGCTTATCGTGCCAGGGTCACCTGAGCTCGGATGAAGCTAGAGAACCAAATGGAAGACTTAGCAACCACACAGACCGTGAATGAGGCAGAGCTGGGTTATCTGTTAAAACCAAACCAGGGTGCCATAAAAGATTAGCCTAGTTGAGTATGCTGAATCATACCCTTGTTTAAGGGTTACAGTCACAGTACTCAGTGCTCTTAAAACATCACTTCCTTGTGAAAAGGAAGGTTTTCACGAGGCCTGATTGTGATTAGATGAGTGAGCAGTGGTCAGAGATAATAACAGATGACACACAGGGTCATACAGTATCTTACACTGTGTTCTTCCTTTTAATCCTCCTCAGATAAACTTCTTTAAAACCCTTCGGCTTTGTAAAGGATGGCATTAAAACATGTCTCACAAAAACTTGACTCCACCCAATCTTAACTCTACAGAGCAAGATCACAACTTTGGCATTCAGTTTGCACCAGGACAGAGCAAAGTAGTTAAAATTCATTTATTTTAATAGTATTAATATGACTGTTTTTCAATAGTGATACTGCACTGCATACAGAGCGGTGCTTCTATTAGTTAGCCTAGTCTTATTGATAGAAATGGGGTGGACAAAATAACAGAAACACCTGTCAGTATAACAATATAAGTCAACAGCAGTATAAATTATATCTTCCAAAACGATCGTCCAGTTGAATCGGCACGTTTCAACAAAAAGGGAGGATCTGTTACAGGACTGATGCATTAGACTTTATTAGCTTTAGCCAGGTGTACCTAATAAACTGACAACCGAGTGTATGCAATGTTATATGATGTTCATCTAAATGAATTGGATTCTACTGTTATCACGTCTGACAGAACAAGACAACGCCTTTTTAATTACAGTTTGTGTTGAATCATTATTGTATGTAACGACATCGGGTATAATAATTAGATTATACGATTACAATATCATTTCACTGAAACCTTCCACAAAAGCTCTGTTACAGTTCCTCACACCTAAGTGGCACCTGACATTAAGGTTATGTTTCACAGACCGACAGATCGGACTTGTCACTCCTGTTTATCCAGACATTGAAGGCAACTCTGCACACTTAATCTGCACATAGCAAAATAAGCACTCATTTGTTCGGTGTAGTACATGCTGACTCTAGAATTACAGAAAAGCACTGAAATATGTAATTAGATAAATAAAATGAACTCACCTGCCATCAGATCTTAGAGTCCAACAGCCAGATATTCTAGCTCCCGAGTATGCCGGTAGGGAGTTCATACTTGGAGACAATGATTGCGATTTCCACTTTGTGTACTCTGCAAGTTCTGTCTTAATCTTATATTTATGCCCCTGTTTACTACATGTATACACTCAAGCTCTTAACAGCAATGCACTCTGGTATAACACATCCATAGAGAAAGAGATAGGAGTGTTGACAATATAAAATGGGGTGGTTGGCTTGAATGAGAAACGAAACTTTAAGCATCTGTTTAGCTTTCTGTTTCCTGCATTCAGTGGAGCGACCGAGGGAGAGAAAAAGCACTGCAGCTTTAGTAGCGGGAGTGTGAATGTGTGAAACTACACCGCAGCTTTTCCCTCCTCTTTCACTCCCTTTCCACTCCTCCCCTGAGTCGTCCAGCCAACAAATGTAAGAGGATAACCTACCCTCCAGATTATGTTCATTAGGTAGTATTAATAGCATCAGGTTAGAGCCAGACCTCCCCTCTCCTGGTACACACACACACACAGAATCACATACACATGCCAAGCTTGGGTCATCTGTCTTTGACAGTTAGTGCTGAAATATGTGGCTAGAGGTGAAAGATGGACCAGAAGAGAGTGAGAGAGACACCA